CGATGAGCTGTTGTACACTGTATTGTTCGCCAGGTATAGGCGATTCCCATGCGTATAGAGGGCGCGGATCTGCAGACATTTGAACACGTGAGAAAACTTGTTGAACCTCCATTCTAAAGCATTACTTTTTTTACTCTCTAGCTGCCAAAAACTGCCACGCGCATACTTTGGCAAACGTCGGCAAAGCTCCGCCCGCTATAGGGGGAAAGGACGATAATTTCCTGTGATAGCCATGTCCATTTCACGTGATAGCACATCAAATTCTCCTCCTTTGTCGCTGACAGACAGTTTGATCTCACAAGGGAAGTGTTTAGTCGAAGGGGCCTTTTCAGATGAGACCCATACTGCTTTAAAGAGCTTTACACACTGATTCCAAATCTGCCTCATTACCTGCCAAGCGCCTCTGGACGCCGAGTTATGGCCGTTTTTTGGGCAAATAATGAACGCAAAATTCGGGTCAAATCGAATGTTACAATCTTTCCAGCGCAGCAGAGTTAATATTTATCATATTATACAGAATGTAACCATCGCATAAACTGCTCTGATACTCGACATTGGACCATTTAAGCAAGTTTGAGCGATTTTGTTTCAGTTTTGCATTCAACTTTTTGACCCGAAAAATGCTCATAATTCGGCGTCCAGAGGCGCTTGGCAGATAATGAAGGCAGATTTGGAATCACTGAGCAAAACTCTCCAAAGCGGTGTGGGTATCATCTGAAAAGGCCACTTTGACTATACACGCTTCCTTTGTCAGTAAGATCTCGAATAAAGAGATACCAATCCCGGTGATACCAATGCCGGTCTACAGCAACAAGCCACAAACAAACGCACTCATCCACAGCACCTTTTATCTGGACCATTATTTGATTGATATTTGTGTCTAAACGTTTAAAGGTTTAGACACGGACATATCGTGGAAGGCGCACCTGCACTGCGAACCCCTCCCCTCTTACATTTTATGGATGACTTACCCTGAGACATCCGCTTCGAAATGGGATCTCGTAATCCTGAGGTGAAAATGAGTGGCACCGCCCTTCTTTAGATGACCATAGGAAAATGCTTGAACATGATAAGCATTCAATTCCTTAGAAAGACGTAAACAAATCAATAAATCAATAAAAGCATTCAGCAAATTCTAGTAAAAAGTATCCTAAAACCGTCTCCGGGGAAGGAACATCTGTGTGTAAAGTTTTAGCCCAATCGGTTGAGCGGCGTACGTTTCTATAGCTCACATACCCTCCAAACAAACAATTTTTGAGTTTTATATATAGAGATGTTCACACTATGCAAAATGTGCTTATATGTTCACGGTATAAATTACTCAATCACCTCTTCACTTAACGTGCGCCTTTCACGATATGTTCGTGTCTAAACCTCTGAACGTTTAGACACAAATACCAATCAAATAATGGCCCAGATAAAAGGTGCTGTGGATGAATGCGTTTGTTTGTGGCTTGTTGAGCTGTAGACCGGGATTGGTATCACCGGGGTTGGTATCTCTTTATTCGAGATCTTACTGACAAAGGAAGCGTGTATAGTCAAAGTGGCCTTTTCAGATGATACCCACACCGCTTTGGAGAGTTTTGCTCAGTGATTCTAAATCTGCCTTCATTATCTGCCAAGCTCCTCTGGACGCCGAATTATGAGCATTTTTCGGGTCAAAAAGTTGAATGCAAAACTGAAACAAAATCGCTCAAACTTGCTTAAATGGTCCAATGTCGAGTATCAGAGCAGTTTATGCGATGACATTCTGTATAATATGATAAATATTAACTCTGCTGCGCTGGAAAGATTGTAACATTCGATTTGACCCGAATTTTGCGTTCATTATTCGCCCAAAAAACGGCCATAACTCGGCGTCCAGAGGCGCTTGGCAGGTAATGAGGCAGATTTGGAATCAGTGTGCAAAGCTCTTTAAAGCAGTATGGGTCTCATCTGAAAAGGATCCCTTCGACTAAACACTTCCCTTGTGAGATCAAATTGTCTGTCAGCGACAAAGGAGGAGAATTTGATGTGCTATCACGTGAAATGGACATGGCTATCACAGGAAATTATCGTCCTTTCCCCCTATAGCGGGCGGAGCTTTGCCGACGTTTGCCAACGTATGCACGTGGCAGTTTTTGGCAGCTAGAGAGTAAAAAAGTAATGCTTTAGAATGGAGGTTCAACAAGTTTTCTCATGTGTTCAAATGTCTGCAGATCCGCGCCCTCTATACGCATGGGAATCGCCTATACCTGGCGAACAATACAGTGTACAACAGCTCATCGGAAAGCGAATTCAAGACATCCGCCGCTTAAACAAGGTCTTGGTGGAAGTTGCTCAATCTAAGGGGCATCTACGTAGAAGTATACGCGTTTCAAGTGCAATTTGCCTACATGTCCGGTACTCACTCTAGAAAAAACCCACAAGCTAACTTCTGCCGCTTTCGCCTCTACTATTCTCGAGGATTACAAGGCCAGACCTATTATCAGCAATGTCGGTGGGCCAACGGAGAAGACCTTCTGGTTTTGAAGTTGGTATTGTATCAGCTGATGGAGTTCGTCCTCGCCTTCTCCAACACCAATATGTTTGATCGTTTGCGAAAGCACTTTGACCAAGGATGCGTGATAAGGTTCAACGTGACTTCGCTTTACACCAACGTTTCAACAGCGACGCCATGCAAGCTACATTCGAGCTACTTCTAGAACATCAAACTTCGTTGAATCTTCAAAGTTTCGGCATCAGAGGGGTCATCTTACTTTTGGGGGAGTGCCTCCAATGTACACTCTTTCGCTGATGTAGTCATTATTACAAACAAATTAGGGGTCTCGCTCTGGGTCAGCGTTTAGCACCGACATTGGCTATCATCTTCATCCCTAACAATAAGATAGAAACTCCGGAACTTGTGCGAAAACCACGCCTGTACTGCCGCTACGTGGACGACTATTGTATAGTTTGCTTCACCAGAGCTGGATTTTTGTTTTAGCATATTCAACCACCAGTCTCGCCACATCAAGGTGGCAAGGGAGAAATCCATTGACAATTGGCTGCCATTCTTGAATGTCGAAGATGCAGCTCTCGGAACATGGTTGGAGAACACAATGGGGTTACAACCCAGCAACAAGAAAGTCCTCATTCATTGCACTTCAGTCCACGCAAGTTTAGAAAATTTGTCTTTGGAAATATGTACAGGACTGCATTGAAGGTCTTTTTTGAGTATTGTATTATAAAATAGATTCTTCACCACAGCTTCAAAGAGGCAGGAGGGCGTACAAACTTATATTTCTCGAAGGCGGTAACATGAGCTTAATTAGGGCTAATTAAAGTACCCCACGATGCTTGGACTTCCGGAGCACAAAAATCCGTAGGATCTGGTGAGCGAGTGCGACACCCACCGCTAGGGACACCGCGGCGGTTCTCCATTTTGCCCACCGGAATTCTCGTCTGAGCAGGAGCACTGATAACGTCGCAAGCGCTCTTTAACGAGATAAATCAGCATCTTCGCGCGCGATTTCAATAAACAGTTGAGCTTTTGGAATTTAATTGCAAACTAAAAGGAGGTTGATTGAAAAGTGTTGTCCTGAATTCTATGGAAGTTTACACACAGACCTCTTTTTTAGCGCAAAAAAACTCTAAAGACACGGTTTTCCGTGTTGCTGAGATGTTTCTAGGATTTTAATCAATATACTTGCTTCATTTAGATTCATTCCGATATATTATAGTTATGATCTTAAATACCGAGGCTTCGCTCCTATGAATTTTTCTCCGGTGAAGAGTGCGTTCATTTGCTCAAAGTGAAGTTCATCAGTCCGTGGCTTCATGTATCGAAGTATGTGATGAACTTCTCAAAGCAGACACTATTTTAGATTAGACGAAGTTCCGGCTATTTTACTGACTGACCGTCTGCATTACTCCCGACAATGTGGATTGACAATGAAGACCTTAGTTCAAGTGCATATATTTTGGAAAGATATCATACAACAAACCGGATTCACCTTGTTTTGTTGAAAGAGTCCTTGTATCCTACTTATAGCAATATTTGGCCACGGCCATAGCTTTGAAAATATTAGGCCTTAAAATCCGCATACTGCGTAAGTCAACATGTTCTTGAAAAGCTAAATCAGCCTGCATCATAGTTGATAATTCTAAATTATCAACGAAACACCGCAATGCTCATCTCATAATTTTCAAATCAAGTTACTTGAATAATCTAAAGTTTTCGCAAATTTGGTTTGAATTTGATGGAAACGTTCTAAATAATCGCTGAGTGCTTTGTGCAAAAACTTTGATTCTTTTTGGAAACATCCTTAACATTCTTAACATCCATCATCATAATCTTGCCAAAAATCCCAAAAATGTACTCGTGAATCTATAAAAGTTATGTTGAGGCAACATAACTCAGTGCGACAAATACGCGACAGCTCAAAGCGATTTCAAAAAATAACGAACGCTCTGAATCATTAGATTCTTGGCAGTCCAGTGAGCTTTCAGTATCTTTTGCAAGTTTCAGAAACGTTATAGCATTCCGACGGTTTTTAGGGTAAATACAAAGCGGCGGAAAATTTATCGCTGTCCGTTTTTCACATGACTTAAGAGCACAGTTGTATATGAGGCGTTATGTCCGTGTCAAGTGTGCCAGCCTATGGCCAGCTGGCTGAAATGCGAAAAAGTTGTATAAGGCCGAGCGCTCGATTGCAAAGCGGGTTATTCACTTTGAAAGATTAGAAAAATCTCAGCATTATTGACTTTAGCCTGCTCATTATATTTCTGCCACTATTTCTCCATCACTACCGAAATTATGAAGGATATTCCTACAATAGAGGTGAGACAGAAGAAGGTGAGACAGAAGAAAATCAGCGAGGTGGCTCGCAAAGCTTTCCAAGATATCGAATTAATCATCATTGGTAGCATTCTGCAGAGCCTGCAATATAATACAACGACACTACTGCATTATCAAGCGCTTTCCATGCGAAATATGTGAAAAGCTTTCCATGTGAACATGAAATCAACAAAAGCCAAGATCATGGTTTATCTAACCTATACAAAAGTATGTCGAATAAACGCATATCGTCCGGTGTCAAATGATGGAAGCTGATAAGATCGCTGGCGAATGCTTCGTATCCCTAAAATCAAAGATACATTCCAATTGCAGTTTTAACTCTCTTATTTGAAAAGCAATTTGCAGTTTACCTTCTTCTCTCCGTAATTTATTCGATCAAGAGGAGTACCTGTCGAATGAAAGATGTCGCTTGGTGTGAAGGAGTTGAATCTATTCTGTCCTTTGCTATTCCTTGTATCATGAGGGTAGATATCCATGCTGGCTAGGCACCTAAGCTACTCTAGCATTGAGTTATCAGATATTGACCGCACCTGCCTATGCCCACGTCCTCGTTTTTCGCATCAGGACATTTTGTTTTGTTCTGGTACGCTAATTCGTTGTACAATTTGAGAGCCGCTTTTGAAAGTATATAGGCACCTCCAGAGTTATAGCCGTGTTTCTAGGAGCATGAACAACAATGAAAAAAGTTTTTGCGTAGAGGTGGTTACCAGGATGCGTTTCCTGAGATGTCCAAGGTAATACGGTTTATTGGGATTGAGGGTGGACAGATAGCGTTTGAGATGCTCTACGATTATATAGGTGTCGTCGTCAGCCTCAAGAAATACACTTTTCTAAAAAAGCGCTTACTTTTTCATGATGGTACTTGTAACAAAATATTTGTCGTATATGCGCCTTGCTAGTCAAAATCTACCTTCAAATTTGCTAAATCCTTCTGCAAAAAAGTCAATTCGCACTGTTCTGAGCAACAGATGATCCATATCCAGCGACTTTACTGTTTTAAACAGAACAACGGTGCTCGCTTGATCAATCTGTCCGAATTGGATTGACGTCAAGAACTGGACATATAAGGCGTCACTATGATTGTGCAGTATTCAAGCAGAAAAATGCTCTAACTTCATTCAGAAAAATTGCTCAGCAGATAGCAAAGGCAGGTTTGGAATCAATGTTTCCAGGCGCATCTATTACTCCTCATCTTACAAATGGCAATGATCATTGGTACCTCTACTTTAGCCCCACGCCGTACTCATCCACTTCATCCGCACAGCAGTCGAAATCAAATCGATGTTAATCTGTTGGATGAAGTGTATGAATTAGGGATAAGTAGGGAATATTCCTTACCTACAAAGCCATTAGTTAGTGCTCACCTTCATGTACCACTCGAACTCCTTGGAAATATATTCGTAAATGTAGTAAAACGCATAATGGCTTTTGTAGAAAAGATTAGCATAAGTGTCAGGAATGCCAGCAAATACGGTAACATAGGGAATGTCTTCGGAAGAAAAATTATTACTAGTAAAAAATACTCCGTGATCACATCGATGTAGCCATGTTTCGTTGACGGCGAGCGCCTACTAATCTTTAAGTCAAAAGCTTTATTGCCAGCTGTGTACAGGTCATTTATAGAATCGCGACACGGATGTGACTGCGCTCTTTGCGCCTCAGGAGCATAAAACACAAACAAAAACTTATCGCCTCAATGCTCAGCTCAGTCACTTCCAGTGCCTAATTACTGTCAAAGTAAGCAGAAAAATCATTGCTTAGAGATGAAAACCAAGAAAATGCGGTTGGCGGAAATGGCTTGCGTGTCGTGCGCAGTCATCGTCACGATTTTTCGAACGCTCTATAACTGCTTTTATAGGGCTGGAAACTAAGTATTGCAACTTTCATAACTTTACTCTTTTTGGAAGCGGCGCACGCAAACTCTAGCAACATGTAGAGAGTAGTGTGTGCCATGCGCACGGACTGTTTAATTTTTCAACATGAATCAGGAAAATTTCAGAAATTTTCAAAAAACCAGTGAATTTTGAGAATTTTCTGACCTACAGGAAAATGAAGCCGCTAGCGGCTCAAACCATGCGCAATCATCCCGTGTATGAATTGTTGCTAAAAATTGACTCATTCGACTCAGTTTCAAAAAATCAAAATTTAGGGGCATATCGAGATTTGGCGCCCTCACAAAGTCGAACAAATTGCTGTACGCAAGACTGCTGGGGACAATCTTCAATAACTCTGGAGCCAGAACCTCAAAATTCGCTGAGACTTCACATAGTAAGGTTCTTTGACTACTAAATACAAATATCATATCCATTTCTTGAACCAATGCCTCTTTTTTGCTTAGGGTGAGGCCCTATATCGTATGCCTTCAGTAATTGTACAAAAAAGCTCTTATCGCGCAACTCTAGTATCATATTCGTGTTCAGCATGTTGGTTACCTCCTTCCCCTAAGCCAATCTTAGCCAAATTTTTCTTTTAGAACTCCCCCCCTATACCGTATACATACCGTAACCCTCGCAACTTCAGAATGTGGCAGAACTGCAGTTGTGCTTGTAGCTTACGTCAGAACCTACATAATGGCAAAATTAGAGTGCGCCATGTTGAGAGAGAGTAAGGTTTTTTTAAATGAGTTGCAAAACTTACAAGTAAAGCGTGTTTAGTCAAAGTAGCCTTTTTGCACGTCACCAACGATGACTCTAAATTCGTTTCCTTAACTGCCAAGCGCCTCTGGGAGCCGCGTTATGAGCGTTTTTCAAGTCGAAAAATTAAATGCGCAACTGAGGCAGAATCGTTCGGAATTGCTCAAATGATCACGTGGTGATTATCAGATCACTTCATTCAAAAAATACTTTCTATTTAACTCACGCACTGCTTGGTTGAGAGCAGAAAAAATTGTAACCATTGTTTTTGCATGTTGCTGCAAAAAACACTCATAACTCGACTCTAAATGCGCTTGGCAGATAGCAAAAGCATATTCGGAATCAACGTTCAATGCTCTTTAAATTATTATAAGACTCAAGTGGAAAAGCCACTTCGACTAAACACGCTTCCCTTGTTAGTTTCCAACCTAATACTAACGAGGGAGTGGTCAGATATCGAAGTGGCTAATCCAGATAGCTGCATACCGTTAGATGCAGCATAAAGCACTGACTCAAAATCTGTCTCCTCTACCTGCTTATCGCTTTTCCGGACGAAGCTATAAGCCAATGAAGGCCAATATTTTGCTAGGAAATTATGCGTGAAAGTGAAAATTTGGCCGTACAGAGCCAGTTTCGGCTTAATCTGGGCAAAACATGCAGCCAACTTAGTTCAAATTCTCAAAGCCCAAAGATGAGCTGAAATTGCAACATTGTGCTCAATTTCACAGTTTTTATGTACGATTTTTCCACAATAAAACTGCTTGTAGTTTTGTCCACAGAAGCGATAAGCAGATAAGGAAGACAGATTCGAAGTCAGCGTTTTATACTGCGTCGATTGGTATACAGCTTGTTTGGTTTGGCCACTTCGACTTCTGACCATTCCCTTGTAAGTCCAACAGACGGACGAATTTTACGACTTTTTAACGCTCCAATCTGAGAAAAGCTCAGCGCTTACCCGCGTTGTATGATAGATCTTAGAGGTTTGAACCCAGCAAAATACTTGACCGGATCGAGGTTTTTGAGCAGCAGCTGACGAGCTGTGCACATGTTCAACCAAGAAAATATCATTCTTTCTAAACGAGGCGACATATAGTACATAAATCACATCTCAATTTAACAAGCTGCTGTTTATTTACTCTTACCTGTCGTAATGACTTGTCGTCCTGCTGTATTTCTTGATCTTCGCATTTAAAAGAAAGCCAAAAATAGTTAGTAATATCAATAAGTGATGAGCTTGAAGCTTATGCAAATTTGGAAGAAACAAATGTTGCATTTCACTAAACCGCAACGTTGTATATCATTTGATAACCTCAACAAGCTTGCAGTAATCATCAACGTGTGAAATTATACAGCAGAAATGACGCTTAATCAGAATAACGTTGTGGTTGGGCCTATAGGTGAGACGCAGGTAATAACCGTTGAAAAATTCCAGACTTCTCATTACTCGGTTTTTTTATAAGGCTAACTTGAATTTTTTTTAAAAAATTTAAGAATTTTAATTGTTTACAAGGATGAACAAGTCACTTGCACATTTTTATAACCCATGTAAGTAAATTTCAAAAATTTCGCAAGCCATCCCAAGCCCCCCCCCCTATATATATAGTGGCGGACAATGGGATGGTGGCGCCCCCACCCCCCCCCCCCCCAGAGAATGGGTCGCGAAGTTTGAGAAAGTTACTTACATGGGTTATAAAAATGTGCAAGTGGTTTGTCTATACTTGTAAGTAATTAAAAAATTTTTTGAAAATTTTTAAAAATTCAAATTAGCCTTGTAAAAAGATTTTTATCGGGAGCAGCTGCCGCCATGCCCTCTTTTTGTGGAATTTTGAGGTCAGGGGCCCGGAAAAATTTTGGACATCTCGAAAAAATTTTCGGAGTGCGTGGCTGACGCCACGCACCTTCATCTTTCACAGTTTTGCAAATAGCGTTATCAAATTTTTTTGATGGACATTGAAGACGGTTGTCGTAAGTCTAACAAGGGAGGGTATTTGGTGACCGTGGCCTTTTGCAGCGAGATGTGTCCTAGTAGATGCGCCTTGAAACGCTAATCCCAAATCTAACAAGGGAAGCTACCTAACTTAGCTCGGCCTTTTGGCAAGGAACATACAGTGACCACCAAAAAGTTGCGGACAAGCCTCCCTCCCTTTTTCATCGCTCTTTTTCAGAAGGAAAACAAGGATAAAAAATGTAATAATTGCATGAGGTGATAGAGTTCTTCAAGATCTACAATCTACACTTTGAGCTTTTTGAGAAACATGTGTTCTAAAAATTTTAAGAATCCTTTTCTAAGAAAAGTCCGAAAATGTATGAAATTATGAAAAATGTATATGAAGTGGAGGCGTGCTCAACTTTTCGCTAGGTGGCTTTCAAACCACCTGGAAGCACTTGAGGTGATTTAGGAAAGAAGAGTCATAAATTTTCCCACTTTCATAATTTTTTACCTTCTTTACAAAATTTTCATCTACATCCCAAACCCTACAAATTATTAGGTTGTCTCATTAAATGCACGTTTTATGTTTCAACTTCTAATCAAGATAACTCTTTTCCCAAACCATCTTTTTGAGCGCAATAAAAATCACTGCAAACAACAAAGCTTTGGCTATATAGTGCAAGCTCTTATGGGATCGTAGCCACTTTAAGAAAGACTTTATAGCCTCAAAAGTCCCGAACATTTTTTTAGAACCTATACTTTGAGAAAGCTTAACTTTCGCTTAAATGTACTAGGATCGCGCGGACTCTGCTCATTATATAGCCGATGCTCGGTTGTGCAATGGAGTGAAGACTGAATTTTACTGCATATTTGTGTGAGAAAATTTTGCAAAAAAACTGGAAGTGCCCATTTTTTTCAGTTTTTGAAAATCCAAAAAACTGCCTTGATTTTTTCTCTTCGAAAAGACGATAATGCTGCGTTTTTTCTAGCGTTAGTTGTACTAGGTCCACTCTACGTGTACATAGCGAAATTTATACAGTCGCTTTTTGCTTTAGATTTTTATGCAGCTTAGATGGGCCTCAGTGACAGCCAAGTTTGAGACAAAATTTCGCTCGGAATTTTTCAAAAATCTCAAACTAACGAGCGTTTTGTAGCACAAAGCTTCGCGATCTTTACGCATATTTTTTAAAGAAAATCCGTCTACTTTTCATGAATTTAGAATAAGGAAAGTGAAGGGAAAGAATTTCATATTTTAATCACTTGCCTTCGAAGGCATGGAACTTCGGCTTCAGCAAAGAGTTGCGAAAGCGAAAGCACATGTGAAACTAGAGGAATCGGGCTTTCCGACATTATAAAGGGTTTTGGAGAAAAATGCTTTTTCTTTGAAAATCAGCTCTCTCAAAAAGAGGTTAGAAAACGTGCATTAATTATGAGACAACCTAATAGTTCCTAAACCGCCTCAAACCCCCTACTCTCCACTTAGGGCCGCATGCACTAACATCCTTGCCGGGGAAGGGATCGCATATAAGAAAGCTTCATATCCTGAAGCTTCACATATATAGATTTCACGCTATCTACCTATCCGTAAGTTCCCACCATCCTTCACTATGAACATCTTGAACGGGAGCAAGAAGCTGTACACGCCGCATTTTCCAACTTTTTGTTTGATCGATGATCCCTGTCTGCCGACCGTCTTTTCTTTAAAGTCATTTTTCTTTTTTTGGAATCAATGAGAACATTCCAGAGTTTACTATTTGACTAACTCAACAGTGTTAATCATGTTTCTGGTAAGAACAAGTGATGTTTTGAAGCCATGACTTTGTGATGAACCACAAGTCGATTGAGGTTTATAACAAAAATCGATATTCCAGAAACTCATTTGTTCTTGTCAGCAACGTGCTTAGCATTGGGTTGTATGATCAGTACAATTTTGGAAGGTTTTCGTTAACTTCGAAGGAAGAAAATAAGAAAGCTTCATATCCTGAAGCTCCACATATCTGGATTCCACGCTATCTGCCTATCCATAAGTATTCCTACCAACCTAGCTTTGAAGACAGACATTCGGCCGCGCGGGAACATCAGGGGATTATATAAAAAGCTGGAAAATGCGGCTCAGTCTTCTTGCTCTCGTTCAACATGCCCATAGTGAAGGTTGGTAGGAATACTTATGGATAGGCAGATAGCGTGGAATCCAGATATGTGGAGCTTCAGGATATGAAGCTTTCTTATAAAGCTGCGATCATCTCCCCGGCAGAGATGTTGATGCATGCGGCTTTTAGTGTTATTTGCAGCCCCTTGAAAATTTGAATGGCGGCGGCAACTGCTCCAGGCGCGTAGTGCTGCGCGCTGGATACATCGCGCCGCCAAACCGGAGAATACGAATATTATCGCGTCTATCTGACGCTTCTTTGGCGTTTTTGTTTTGCTTTATTGCGCTAGTATTCGTATACAACAAGTCTTTAGAAGTGGGTCTGTGAATTTGTATTCTTCTGCAAAATCAGGTCTTTGAGAGATATTAAGAAATCGTAATTTTGGCATGGAAAAGTCGCATAAGAAAGCTAAATACACAAGTTCGCAGCTTAGCCATTGCAGACTAAAAATTCGCACACCTATCACTGGTGTGCAGTTCAGCATTCCTTTCGCAGAAACATGAGAACTTTATTTCTAGCTACTCAGAATGTATGGTAGCGGCATATATGAACTGGATGTGAAATCTATAATACATGCTCGAGTGATTAAACTTTTCTTAGGTTTTTCGCACGAAGATCGGATTCTTTCCACATTTTCCAAGCTTTTAGATCCTTTTAGTTTCTGACTTCAAATTCCGCGTGAGTTCGTAAAAGAGACCTGTGAGGGTCGAACGCACTTCGCCGAAAACCACTGCACGCATCGTAAAATTTGTTTTAGAGGATATAAATCTTTGCACCAAACAAAGGCGAAAATCTTGGCCGATCTTTAAGATCCTACGCAGAAATTTTTTCTTTATTAAATGAAGGGCAGGGCGCACTGGAATTTACTTGCTCCCTGCAAACTTCTGAACGTTTCGTTGCGTCTCGTTTTTCCACATGTTCCACAAGTACTCATCAATTAGTCATATATGTTTGCGTTCAATGCAAAAAAGAGGTACTAATTTACCTTAAAACAAGGTTAATCATGTTTGAAAATATTTGAAGAAGAAAAAGATTTCACTCAAGTGACCATGTGTTTGGAAATTCTTCCCAAAATGTCTTCTGCCTGCCTCCAGGTACCAAGTAAAGTGCTTCAACTCACAAGGGAAGGATGCTAGGTAGCCGTGCCTTTTGATACGAAACCCTCATCATTAAATGCATTTTGGAGAGCTGATTCCAAATGTGCCTTCAATGTCTGATGTGCGTTCTTTCGAAAGAATTTATGAACATATTTTGCCATTGAAATTTGCGTTTTTTTTTTTGATGACTGGATTCACAGTTTCGTTCATGGTCATTTACGCACCAGAAAAGAGCGTCCAGATCAAATAAAGATTTACATTGAGCTGAGGAGAATTGTCTCCAATATATCCGAGTCCGAGAAGTCTGGGAACTGACCGCCTGGATCTCGTGAAATTAACATGGTAAAAGTCGGGGGTGGTGCAGGAGGAATCAAAGGGCTGCCGCCTGTATCCGCAGGAGATAATCAAGAGCGCGAGCGCTGTGGAGAATATTTTGGCAGGGATCTAAGAAAACTCGGCAAGGACATCCTTTAGGAAGAAATCTTGATAACTTCGCCTGGAGATGACTTTGAAAAATTTAAAAAACAGATTTGTAATGCAAGTTGGAAGGCGCATTCACTGGGCCTAAAAATAAATTGAAATTTGGAATTGTAGTGGTAACAAAAGTCAACCACCTTATAGAAACTTTTTGTTTTGAACTTTAAAATTTCAAGTTGTTGAAATCCGGGGTTTTCATTCAAAATTCATTTTTATTCTTCAAGATAAAGAAATATTTTGCCTTTTGATTCAATGAAAAGCAATTGAAATGTCATAAGAACACATCTGGAGGTTTGTGTCAAGATGCAATATGCAGTTTGTTTCATAGCTTCAAACCCACTCTCATTTAAAATTTTGACATTAGAGACTTCATAAAATTTGCCGTTGAACTTATGTCGGTAATCCTTTAGGCCGTACACAATAGCAAAAGTTCATTCATCACATGCAACTTAGTTAACATTATTTCCTTATTACCATTTCTTACTTTCAACTTCGTATCCAGAAATTTCACTAAAATTCAGTTGAAATTTTCAC